ATCTTTGTGGTTTAATTTTTTTTTGATCCTGATTTAATTTTTTTTTGACCCCTCACCCTCTCGTGGCTTGTTCTACATGTAGTAGCAGCACGCATATTCGGTTACAAGGCGCCGTCGTCGTAGTGGTCGTCGTCGTCGCTGTCGTGGTCGTCGGCATCGTCGTAGCAGTAGCAGTAGCAGTAGCATTGGTAGTGGCAGTAGCAGTGGCAGTGGCAGTAGCAGGAGATGACTGGCTAAAGACCATAAGGATTAGGTCATTGTGATGATGTCCATGTCGATGATGACGTGGATGGCGATGGTGGCGGCATAGTACTGTGTCTTTTGGTGTTTTCGTCCAGTCTGATCACATTCTTCATTTATGTTGAGGCATCTTGAAGGGGCCTACTGGCAGCTTGCGTCCCCAAAGCCTCAAAACATCTTTGTCTCTGAGCTCAGCTGAGCCGAGCGGACCCTTCTCTATACTAAACTGTGGCCACCCCGTCAAGGAGAGAATGCTAAGCCGGAAACTCATCAGCTTGAAACTCGCAGTTAACTCCCCTAACCTAGCTTTCAAACTCCCAGATGAGCCCAGGAAGGCAATGGTCCCGGCATGTGAGCTTGGAATCATTGCCTGCAACAGAGGTGCCCCGGCTGCTGTAGCGAGCTGGTCGCTCTGGCGTAAACCCTAAACCCTAAACCCTAAACCCTAAACCCCTAAACCCTAAACCCTAAACCCTAAACCCCTAAACCCTAAACCCTAAACCCTAAACCCGTGCTGGTCACTCTGTCGTCGAAGGCTTTGGTTTTGTAGATTCGGGGATCGAGGCTCGTTCGTGCTCGAGGGTTTGGTCTCCGGGGAGCTCTTGAAGAGACAGGACTACATGGGTGGTTGTCAAAATTATGGTCCCTTTTTGGGTCCTTATTATAATACGGCACCTATTATTTAGGGTACCCCAAAAGGGACCCTAATTTTGACAACTACCCACATGAATGTACAACTTCAGAACTATGTAAGCACAACCAGCACGTGTATGCTACGCTAGTTACCGCTGGTTGCTTGCAGTTTCCACGTGTTCGTAGGTGGGTAAACAGACAATAGACCAAAGAACACATAAACAGATCCACACGTATTTGTACATTGTACACAGAGCGCACATACGAAACTGCTAATGTATAGTTAGATCCATGTACGTCGCCATATGTAGAGCTCGAGAATGACTTGTCACTTCTGCATGTAAATCAAGCTGTATGCAACTTCAAGAGACAGCATCCAACTAATTTCAAGCACCCTCCTTTCGTGCTTGTCTCAATCTTTCTCCACTTCGCTTTGCGTTGCTGCTGTTACCACCAGCCAACACCGCTGCCACCGCCAGCACTGCCACCACTGCCATCACGGCCACCACCGAACGATGACCATGACGAACTGCTACCTACTGCTACTGCCACTGCGACACCCTACCTATTTACCCACCGACCTACCTGCCCACCTGCCTGCCTGCCTGCCGAGCTAGAAACCTACCTACCTACCTACCTACCGACCGACCGACCTACCTAGACCGACCGACCGACCGAAGGCTGACCGACGGAAGACTGAGGGACGACCGACCGTCGCCGACCGACCTACCCAGCCACCTGCCTGCCTGCCTGCCTGCCTGCCTGCCTGCCTACGTACCTACCTACCCACCTACCTACCTACGACCTGCTGGCAACTGCTGCCTACTATTGACCGCTGCGAACTAGTATTAATTAGTACTACGACTACTACCACCACTACCGCTGCTACTACTACTACTACTACTACTACTACTACTACTACTCCTGCTGCTGCTACTACTACTACTGCTGCTGCTGCTACTACTACTACTACTACTACTGCTGTTGACTGCCAATAGTATACAGCCGCGGAGAGGCGGAGAGAGAGAGAGAGAGGCAGCGGAAAAATGAGCACGGAAGTCGACAAGTTCAGGCGTGGACCCAGACCCCCAGACTGGCGGCATCGTAAATGCCACGGCCTGCTTCGCAGCCTACGATGCCTGCAACTTCATGGCGATCATGCCTTATGAGCTGACAGGCCCGGGGATGTTTTCAGGTTAAAGCCTTGAGTATTCAGGGGTAGCTGACGAAAGTCGGGCCGAGATGCTGTCTGAGACTGAAAAAGGGGATACCCGTCTGAAGGCAAGAACCCGTATGACATGCGCATCAACTGCGAGCACGGGCGCCTGTGCTACGACTTCGACATGATTACGACACCGGGACTGCACCGAACATCACGAGGCTGATTTTCACCTCGCTTTCTCGATTTCCCAGATCTTGGTAAAGCTTCAGATTATCGGGAGCACCATCCCAAAATCTACAACCCTACGATTACAAAGCCTTCAGAGCCGTGAAGCCTTCTAGCCTGAAGCTGCAAACCCCCAAGTCCTCAACCTCTCAAGCCCACACTGCGAACGCTCAAAGCCCCGAACCCCAAAACCCTAAGCTCCTTCCTAACCCCAAATCACAAACACAAAAGCCCCAAGCCCCCAATCCCGAAAGCTCGAACAACACCTGAAACCTTCGCCGCCATCCTTACAGCTACCCTTGTCGCAAGCCTCAAGCAACCTTTGTAGGGTCAGAAGCCGTTTCGGAACCCTTCTAGAATCCTTATCGTAAGCCTTTTCCATATATATGTATATATATATATATATATATATAGAATATACCCGTATAGTAGCCCTCAGATAACCCTTACCCCCCTTGAAGCCTCTTTTCAGCCTCGTTTAACAGGACCTACCTGAACCCTAAACCCTAAACCCTAAACCCTTGAAGCCTCTGAAGCCTCGTTTAAAAGGAGCTACCTGAACAAGCCGGAGGTGCAGACCGCGCCCGGGCCCGAGCTCGGCCGGGGCCTGGGGTTCGCGGGGCACAGGGCCATTTTAAGCCCCTGGCTTTGGGTTTTAGGGGTTTTAGGGGTTTTAGGGGTTTGGGGTTTTCGGGTTTTAGGGTTT